ATATAGTACGGTTAATTGCCTTTGAATTTCATTTCTCTTCAAAAAATGATCGAATTCCTTCTTAACATACTCGGTACCATTGTCGCTTCTCAAAATTTGTATCTTCCTGCTAGTTCTGCGCTCTACTAGCGACTTGAAAAACTTATATGTTTCAAAAACTTCCGATTTTGATTTAATAATATAAACGTAAATGAATCTCGATTTCTTATCAATAAAAGTTACAAAATATCTAGAACCTCCTAAAGAGTTCTTATTCATTGGGCCACATACATCTGAATGAATTATGTCCAACACATTCTCGGTTTGATTTACATTACTTTTCGGAAAACGTTGAGTACAAATTTTACTTGCCATACAAGTTGTACATTGCATATCCTTAGAAAACGCTTTCATATTTAAACCCTTTACCATTTCATTCTTTGTAATATGGTTCAAGCTGGAAACATTTAAGTGTCCATAACTGCCACTTCATTGCATTCTCAGTAGAAGTATTTACACCAAAACACTTGATTTTACTATCAACGACCATAAAAAGATTATTCGTATGCTTTCATCTAATAATTTCTTGACCAAATTTATCTTTAACGCTTGCATGTTTGTTGTTAAAAATTACTGTGTTCTCGTGTCTCACGGCTCTGCTTACAGGTATACAATTACTTTGCATACCTGGTACATACAAAACTTTTTGTAACGTCACCTTAAATTTCTCTGCTTTCAACGCCACGTTTCCACGTCCTTTAGCTTCGATGAAGTTCTCTCCTGTTAACACAATCTTCTCGTAGTGCTCCTCAAATGTTACGAACATGCTACGATCGCAACACAAATGCGATGTCGCTCCGCTATCGATGCACCAAGCATCTTTATCAAGCATCTGCATTGCGCCGATGCAAGAATAGAAAACATCTTCTCGTCATTTCGCATTTCTGTTGATTTCTTCTTCCGTGGATCCTTGCAGTTCGCCGAAAAATGCCCCTTCTTACCGCAATTAAAGCACTTCACATTCCTATTCCTTGTAAGCATTTTGTATTCCGGTGTCCTTTCACCCTTACCTCGCACTACATAAGCCTGCTCACTAGCATCACCTGCATTTCGTTCTAGTCCATTTTTCCTGTTACCTTCTTCCATAAGCTTCACCTTCAGTGTGTTCAACGTTGGCAGAATACCTCGTGTCTCTATCGCGACTATAAATGACTCATACGACTTCGGCAGATTTGACAGCATCATGATGACCAAAAGCTCCTCTGGTAACTTGACATTGACTTCATCCAGTTTTTCAACAATGTCCATAAATGTGTTGATGTACGACACAATATTGTCACAATTAAGCACTTTGTGGTTCAGCAAATCCTTAAATAAGGCTACCTTTCTGGCTGGTCCTCGCGGCTGATGAACTTCCTTCAGAATGTTCCAAGCTGCAGCGGCTGAATTTGCATGTTTGATGTGGTTAATTTGCGATGGGTTTACGCTTAACGTAATTGAAGCTATCGCCTTCTCGTCCTGAGATTCCCATTTCGCCACTGCATACTCAGTTATGCATTGCGACTTGACGCTTTTTCCGCTAACAATTTTCCCCAACTCTAAATGTACAAGGACGCTATTCATTTGTACATTCCATGATTCGTAGTTGGAATCATTACGCTTCTCTATTTGGCAAATAGAAGCCATCTAAAAATTGTTTTATGTAACGCAGCAAAAATATTGAATTCTATTGAAAATTTTTTCTGTAATTGATTTTCAATTCAAAGCTGAGGTGCCCATAACCTATTAGAAATATGAAACGAATCAATTGAATTCTCTCGAACGAATGAACATTTATTTCAATGAATATGTTAAGAAGTATACCAGAAATACAAAGCTTATTTGCTTGATTCCCAACAGAGGGCTTATATTCAAAGTCTCTATCTGCAATTTTCACAAAAACAACTTTGTGATGTTAGAACCCATCTGGGTCTTATTTGTTATCACTGGTGTTAATTCCGACTTTGCAATTTAAAAGTAAATTCTTCTGTCAAGCGTGATACAAGGTAAAAACATTAAGAAAATCCTAAAGTTTTTTGTTTCAATTGAAAATTCAGTACAAATGAGTACGAATTTTGAAAAATCAGGACATTAGCGTACTGATTGAAGAAATGAATAAAATCAGTACAAGAGTTGAAAAATCAGTACTGTACTTATAAAATCAGTACGTCTGGCAACCGTTTTGAGTTTGAATAGAGCTTTGAACATTCTTTTACAAATTAGTTTCAAAATCGTTCGTATTCTTTTCAGGAGGTTATCAACGATTTTTGGTAAATGTGTGCCTTAAAAATTATGCAACTATGTATTATCAATTATCAAAGAAAGTATTACGTTTACCTGCACTGCCTCTACACTAAACCTAATTTTAACAAGCTTTAATTTATTTTGCTCATCTCGCAGAACAACGAAAACGGCTATAATTTTATGTAGTTATATAGATAATTAGATACCATTGGGAAAAAATTTCCCTTGCAGCAATTTCTAAGTGGTATTTAAGTGCTCCTCTATTATTTGGTTTCATAGGGATTCGGATTCCTTCCTCATTGAAGTAGTAAAGAAATTTCGCTGTACTGTATAAATAATATCGGTGGAGAATTGGGGAATACTGAAACCTTAAGTGAAAATGAAATGTTTTATGAAGACTAACTGCCTTATGAATCTCTCCTCACGGCATATCTGCGAGACATGTAGTATTTTTTTTTTAAATTTACGAATTTCGATAATTTCATAATTAATGGTTAGATGAAATCATTTATGTACATATGAACATACATATCTTATTATGTAGCTCATTTAAAGGGGGAGGGGGTTGAGTATGGTAGCAAATAACTTGTGTCAAAACCAAGCTAATTGGACAATGTTTTCGAGTACTTCTTAAACATATATACTCATCATTTGAACCTTAAAAACATTGCGCGGAAAAGTCTGTCTTACGAATGCTAAGACATGTTTTCACATTTTATTTACTGACTTTACAATTTTTTAACGGTTGGCATCATTTTACATTAAAATAGTGCAATATTTTAGCTGCTATTAATTTCGCACAGCAAAAGTAATCATTTGACCTAATGTGCAGTGGCCAAAGAATTATAGCCGAACCACTTTTTTCCAAGTTTTAACGTATTATTTTTGTTGTCATTGAACTTTTGTTATTTTTTTATAAAAATATAGTTCCTTCTTTAACAAAACCCGTGTAAATCCAAGTTTCCAAATTTGTGCAATATTAAAAAAAATCAAAAAATGCTCGTGCAAATTTCGAACTTTTTAAAAATTCTAAAAAATCAATCGAAATTTTTAGCCATTTGAAAGTCATATTTTATTCTACTAGAATTCAATTCGCATACAGAAATATGTATTTCTTAACGTAACACAGAAATTCTTAAGTTTCTTATTGTTTAAATGAGGTCCCCTTATTAAAAATATAATAAATATTCACATCAAACCAGCAGTGTTTTACTCACGAACTATGTGTCCTCCAAGGTGGCTCGTCCTACCCGTCACAAAATGTTGTCACACCAGTCACAAGCTAAAATAGGTTTTTTTGTATTTTAAAATAAAATAATGCCATTAAAGGATAAAATGGTACTTAACATTCTACTAACTACATTCGAGAAAGCCGCTATGAACGAAATATTTATAGTTTGTCTAAAATTGGGAAACGAATCCACCAACATAGAGAAGCGGGTGTCATCGTTGTCCCACCCATCACGCTTGGAAAATGTTAAACTTCTGTGTAAATTATATAATTAAATTTTATAATTTATCATTTTCGCAATAAACTGATATCTGACTTCAAGTGTAAACAGTTTACACTTGTCAAATCATTTTTTAAGGAGAATTTACTAAAAGTTTAAGCAAAAACGAGTTAAAATGTCCCACCCGTCACTTTAGAATGCCCCATATGTATCGAAATAGTCACATTTACAGATGGAAATACATATCGTGTAAGAACACTTTAAGGTAACTACATGAATGTTACCTCTTTACTACTGAAATATATATTTTGAATTCTTTGCGAATTTTGTGAGGTAAATTTTTAAGATGTGGGTAATTGGAGGTATTTTCCCGATTTTCGTGGGTAAATTAACAGAAAAGGTCTGGCATAACTGACTGTGTGGTGTATTTGGCCTATTAGCCAAGTTGCAATGACATGCTAAAACAGTTTGTTTGAAATGGATTGACATGACATAACACCTTGTTTGAGTTAACATGACATAGCAATTCATGACATTTTTGAAAATTATATTTTTAGAGAAAATGTTGCATTGTGCAGTACTTTTGTTAATACTTGCATAAGCACATAAATATATACGAACATATCCATATATGTATGTATGTGCCAGGGATGTTGCGAATATTTGCATTCACATTCGTTATGCGAATAATTCGCATAATTTTACACATTCGCATCAAATGATACGAATATTTTGCGAATGCGAATGTGTACATGGGCAGAGCGCGCAGTTAACGACCACTAAGCACACAATCGGAGCGTAACGCACACATATATGTTAAAAGGTATTTCAATTTAACGTAGTTACATATTTTAGTTAATTTTTGTATTTTATTCGTCGAAAGTGAACAATTGCTCATTGCAGCCGACCTTGTATACGAGCCTCTAAAAATCGCCTCATGGGAGAAAAGGCAGCAAAATAACTTTATGTGAAATTTAATATGCCCCTCTTGAACTTTGACTACTAGATTAAAACACTGTATAGGTTAAGCACTGGTTCAGTGTTCTAATTATTTATAAAACGATTACTTAAGTTGATTACAGCTTTTTTAATGTTATTCCTAACATTCGAATCCTCATTCCCACATTCGCATTCCGAAAATTCGCATTCGCAATTGTGAAAAATATGACATTGTAATAACTTGCGAAACACACTTTGTACATATATTACATACATATATACATACATGCATTTTATATCACAACCACACATGTACAAATAATTTCAATGCATTTAATTTTTTCTTAGGTTGCCATAAAAATAATCGACAAGAGCCAGTTGGATTCCATCAATTTGCAAAAGGTATACCGAGAGGTTGAAATAATGAAGCGCTTGAATCATCCACACATCATTAAACTTTATCAGGTAATTTGTAAAATACTAAATTTTGTTGTATTTAATTTTCGAGACAAAGGAAATTAAGCACAAAATGATTTCAAAATAAATAGGATGTTGTGGAAATGGTCTTGGATTTGTAGTTGGAATTGCCTTTGCAAATTTTATGCTTGCTGCCATGGCAACCGTGTGCATTTTATTGTTGTGAATATACAAATGCAACGAATATGCAAATGCAAGACCATATGCACAAGTTCCTGAACAGCCCTAATATATTTCAGTTGTTTGTCCGATCGTTAAAACCGGTGTATGAGATTGGTAACTGTGCTCGTCTATCTACTAATACGATATCAATCTATCGAAATATCTTGTTAGAAGTTTGATCTCTAAAGGTTACTGTAATTTTTATTTTTTTTTATTTTACGTGTATTTTATTTTATATAATTTTATATCGGAAACAAACCAAACAGCTAACTGCTGTTGGATTTCATTTGTTTATTAGTTTTTATTCCTTGCAGTTGAACATTTTTTAAAAATTTGAGTAAATGAAGTATTGTTTTATAAAAACAAATATTAATGTATTCATATTTTTGTTCATAACTAGGGGAAATTATAAAAATGCAACGCAAAACAGCATTCTTCCAATAACAGAAATACTATAGCTGCAGAAGTCATTTTGCGCTTGTTACGTTATGTAATGGCCGCTCTCTGATGTTATTTTATGTTATGTTATGTAATGTGGTATGTTAAGTTATGTTATGTTATGCTAAGTACTAAGCTCAACTCCCCTCAACTTAACTCACCCCAACTAATTTTATTACTCCTCAACTCACCTTTTCTCATCTCAACTCTCCTAAACACGCCCTAGCTCATCTTAACTTATCTAAAGTCACTTCACTTCAATTCACTTCATCTTAACTCATCTCAACTCATCTCAACTCAACTAAACTCAACTCAACTGAACTCAACTCAACTCAGCTCAACCCACCTACCCTCCCCTTAATTTTAGTGGTTGAATTTCAACCGCTGGGCGAACACTAGTCTACATAAAATGGCTTCCTTAAACAAACGAACCGCTACCGTAACATCTATTAATTGAATAACTACTAGTACCCTCGTAGATGGGTACAGTGGCGATAGCTTTGCTATTGCACATGATCAGGCACCGTTGCAGTCTCACTTCGACAGATTTGCTGCGGGCTCATGATGGGCTAATTATCGATGCAAATAAGGAGGAGCTCGATGCTCATTTAGATATGTAGGACTAAAGTTAAGACCTATATAGCAATGCTATGGATAAAATATTCTAGACTGAACTAGCGCACAAGAATTTTGACGCTAAATTTGCTGAGGCCGACACTTGCGAGGAAATATTCAAAAGGAGATGCAGGCGCTCCCGTGACGGTCGCTACCTTGTACAAACACCGTTTCGCTTAGATGCACCAGCGCACGGGCAATTCACATCAACTGGCGTCTAGACAATTCCATCGACATGAACGGAAACGGGCTTTGAACTCGGAATTGAGGCTAAAGTATGTGGCATTTATGCGTGAATATGAAGAGCTCGGTCGTATGTACCCAATTCAAAATCAACCAGGTGATCCGTCACAGGCTTATTACATTCCGCATCATGCCGCCGGCAAAGTTCCGAGTCTTTTTAGCGCTTCCGCGAAAACATCGAATGGTGTCTCACTAATGATACGTAGCTGGCTGGCCCACGCATAAAAGATTTGCTGACCAATCTAACCCATCGATTTAGCTACATTATATTGCTTTGACCACTGATGTGGAAAAGATGTTCCGCCAGGTGCGCATTGACAAAAGGCATCAGCAATGGCAACAAATACTTTGGCGCGAGACACCTACGAGACCTGTCCGAACTTATCAGCTGGCTACTGTGACATATGGTACAAAGAGTGGCACACACCAATCTATTTGCGCAATGCAGCAATGGTTTAAATTGTTGGATTCGGAGCACGAGTGCTGCTATTGATAACATTCTTCACAACTTTTACATAGACGATTACCTTGTAAGCGTACCCACGTTGGAATTTCAATTTCCATTTATGCAATTGGAGATCAAATAACATCCATGTTTTAAACACCCTTAGTGGTGCAAGGGTTGCGTTTTTTTGCGTTTTTTTTTTCTTAGACTACATTTCGTCGGCGGATGAGCTGTTTTACCGTGTAGGCTTAACCGGATCAACATCAATCACCAAACGACAGGCACTGAGCGATGCAGCAAGATTAAACGATCCCACAGGCATGTTAGCCCCTGTTCTTCTATCTGTGAAACTCTTCATACAAAAATTGTGTCAAGCAAAACCGGAATGGGACGCACTTCTACCATCTGAATTACAACATGAATCAGAAATCAGTTGAAACAATTAGAAGAGATAAAAATTCCACATTGGCTTGGCATGCGACCTCAAGCCAAGTCAAATATATAGTATGGTTTTTGCGATGCCAGCACCAAAGCATATGCTGCTTATGCACTAAACGCAACGATGGGTAAACTGTTTATAAGATAATTGCATCGAAAACTCGAGTACACTTTCAAAAAATCTGTTTAAAAATGCGACTATAAATCGAGTATATTTTTTGCTTATTTTTAAAATCTTTTGGTAAATTTACACGATGAATATGTATTTTTCTCCTCTACACATTTTCGGGTGTAAAAATCCTTTTTGTTAGCGGCTATACACAATTCTACGGGTGAAATCAAACAGCGGATGTGTATTTTGTTATTTGTACACACTTTCGTGGTAAATTTACGCACACCACAGCAGCTATATTACACTCTAAAAAGTCCGAAATTTCAACAAACTATTCGTTGAATAATCGAGCATGTAATTTCGCGAATAATAAGGCAGGAAATCAGTAACCTACCTTTTAGCTAGGAAATTTACACTATTTTTTATACCTTTCATGAGCATGAAATGGTATTATAACTTTGGTCCGATGTTTGTAAGTACCAGAACAAAAAGAGATAGACCCATTAAAATGTATACTTATATGATCAGAACGTCGAGCTGAGTTGATTTAACCATGTCCGTCTGTCCGTCTGTCCGTCTGTCCGTCTGTCTGTCTGTTTGTATGCAATCTAGTCTCTCAGTTTTCGAGATATCCGGATCAAATTTGGTAGGTGGGTGTATTTTTATAATGTATTAATCATTTGTCGGAACCGGAAGAATCGGACCACTATAACATATAGCTCCCATACAACTGATTGTTCAGATATGAGATTTTTCGTTATAATTCATCCATTTATGTAGCTAGGACCATGAAATTTCGCGCTGTTTTCACTCATTATCAACAGAAGACTTACAGTGAAAATAACAAAGATCGGGTCACTATAACCTGCAGCCCCCATACAACTGATTGTTCAGATATGAGGTCTTTTATCATAACTCCTCCATTTATGCAGCTAGGAACATGAAATTTCGCACCATTTTCACTCATTATTAACAGAATACTTACAGTGAAAATAACAAGGATCGGATGACTACAACATATATCTTCCATACATCTGATTGTTCAGATATGGGATTTTACTGTAAAACTCCTTTATTTGAACAGCTAAAACCGATAAATTTCGTAAGATATTTTATAAATAATAATACAAAGTCTACTGAGAAAATCGTCAAAATCTATGCTGTATAAGCTTTATCTCCTATAGCACTGATTGTTCAGATACCAGTTTTTGCGATATATCTCCTTTATGTAGGAAACTAAACCCAATAAATTGTGTTACCGGTTTACATACCGATCACATAGCAGTGAAAATCACTTAGATTGGTGCCATATAAAGTATATCTTCCATACCTCTGATTGTTTAGATGCGATTTTTTATATAAGTATGTAACTCCTCTATCGATGTATGCAGATGTATTCAAAAGCAGTAATCTGTCAAAGTAAAATTTGCAGATGTTCATGAAAGGTATGAAGCCTTCGGCATAGCCGAAGACAGCGCTGCTCTTACTTGTTTTTTTATAGTGTAGCACCTTTACCTGGCGTCACTATACCTCGCTTGCAGTTGAGCGCTGGATCCGTTTATTGATGATTCAGCATTCAACATCATTCGAGTGGGTGGTCGACTAGACAACGCAGGCGTTGAGGACGGGAAACATCATGCCATCATACCTCCCACAGAGAGCACCCTAACTAAACTTATCGTATGGCAAATTCATTTTAATAGCCCAGTTATGCATACTTTGCACTGCTATACCATTTTTACGTAAAAATCAAAACATAAGATAATTCTACATTTGAAGTTCTATGCGCTGGGTAACCGGTTACACGCAAAGCCCATTTAACAGATTCCTTATGTGACAACTCTCATGCAACGCTAAGTATGCATAACTGAGCTATAACACACTGTATGGAAGCGTTCAGCTTATGCTGCACACTATTCGCCAGAAATATTGGATCCTATACGCTCGCTTTCTGGTTAAACAATGTATCCATGCCTGTACTACTTGCAGGCGGCACAAGCATATTATGATGAACCAACGAATGATGTCGTTACTAAAGCAACGCGTTACCCCCGTAACAGTATCGGGTGTCGACTATTGTGGCCCATTCAACATACCTATCGGTTCGAAGGCCATCCGCACAGTAAAGAAAACTTATGCAGCGATCTTTGCGTGTGTTACAACAACAGCGATACACATACAATTGTCAGAAGATCTTTCAGCAGAGTCGTTTCGTGAATTGACGTGGTCCATGTACCGACTTATATAATGATAATGGCACAGCCTTCGTAGGCGCAAATCGAATGAATCGATGAATGCAGAAGATCTGCACGCATGGCATGGCGATTATGCTCAACAGAACCTGGCAAATAAGGTCACAGATTGGAATTTTATCCAGCAGGAGCTCCACATCATGGCGGACTCTGATAGGCCGCCGCGGCATTCGCAAAGAAACACATACTTCGAATAGTTGGCACGCACTCTATCTACTACGACCAATTAATTATATAACTTTTTGGTACATGTAGAAGCTTGCCTATATTCCCGACCACTGAT